TGGCTGACTTCTCGCTCATCTTAACTGGCCTGTAGAGGCAGCAAGTTTTCCGGAAATCAGCTCAGCTTTAAACACAACAAGCCTCATTGTCTGTTGCAGGCCACATTTTGGCCTTTGTCATGGCTCAAAAACTGACATCTGTAAAAATTGTTTGTTCTTATTTTGGAGCTGAGTATCTACAGATTTATTCCATACCTAAAATGTTATGATCCACTAAAGTTAGGCACAATATTAGATTAATTAGTCCTATTTTTTGTTATCTTCACCTCCATCTTGACTGTAAGGGAGCCAGGAAGGAACATTTCAATTAGGCGCAACTGTGTTCTGTCTGCTGCACAACGTCATATCTGATTTAGGGATTTTTGATTTGGTCATTTTTGTCTTGATATGCTTCTGTCATAAGTAAGTATGCAATTAAATGGTTTATTTTTTGTCTGTCTTAATTGTGTTTTTTGTTATTTCCTGATTTGTTTTGCCTACAGACAAAGTTAATACCCTTTAAAGCCCTATCCTGAACAATATGGATCAAAGATTTGTGGTTGTGTTTTAGCTGTTAGGAATTAATTTATCCTCATAATTTTATTGTATATATTTCACATACAGTGCCTGTTAGCAGGAAAACTCAATCTGCTCTGTGCAATACATTGTGGCTCTGTCAAAAACAGACAAGTCATATCTTTTTATCAGCTTCTGAAACGTGCCATGGCGTATCTGCTGAAATTACTAGAATTGTTTAGTGGTGAGCTCGCCTGCAGCATGGCAGAGTTCTGCACTCTACTGAGTGCACTTTTCTAGTTTTAATGAAGAAGTCGGTCAAAAACAATTCCAGGTTGTGCTTAGGTTTTTTAATTTAGAAATTTTTCACACAACAGCAGGTCACATAGAAGGACTGACTATTGCTGAAAGATGCGACTGTAAACATTACAAAAAAATTGATTTCCTGACAAGCTTAAATATTATAACTTAAAGCACAGTTGCAATATATTTTTTGATAATTTTTGTTTCATTAAAATATTCATTTTTTTTCAGTAACTTCTAAAATATAAAATTGATACCAAGCATTTTCAAGCCAGAGAAAGAGCATAACAAATAGTGTCTCACATTAGCACAATAACTAATCCATACACATCTTATCTCTCAAGTCTAACCTTTAAAGAAAGCAGAGGATGAATGACACTCTATGTGGGCTCATCTTTTCTGTTCTGTGTGATGAAGGCGAACTTTTGTGTCATGCACATGAATACCTGCCTCAGCCTTAATAGCAATGCATCTATTCAACCCCCCAAAAATGGGCGAAGCTGCTCCTTTGGGGAGACATTCAATGAAAAATAAAGAGAAAGCAATTTCATGTAGGCTACACCCACCGGAAAATGTCATTTGGATCTTTGGCAAATGACATTTATAATAAAAAGTCTGTAGTACAATTAGAAAGCACACTTTAGATACTCTGATCATTCAACTTGAGATAATTAAATGCCTCATTTTGTCATTATTGGAAGAGGTAGACAATGAAAGACTGACAGTTGGAGAGTCTTGGAGATTGAAAGGAGCGAAAAACGGGCAGTGATGTGAGATTTGGTATTGTTACCTTTCAGGTCTGTGTTAGTGGCGGCTGCAATAATAACCCTGCTGCAGCACGTCCTTGTTGAGCACTCCAGGCTGCAGAAATCAGAAAGCTTTAAAAAGCTGAGAGAAACTCATTTAAAGCTAACTAAGGACTAAAGTCTTACAAAATGAAAAGCCTGTGGGTTTTTAAAATTAGTATTCCTGTCTGAGATAACCTGAGGGTGTTTGAGTAAGAAAATAATGATTACTGTGGAAACTGAGGCACTAAGTTGTAACATAACTCATTTAGCTCTTTAGACTCCTTTTCGTATTTTGGAAAACAAATCCTTGGACAAATTTCCTGCTCTAAAATAGAAACTTTAGATCAACTTCTTTGGTAACTTTAGTGGCAAGTGATGAGAGGCAAGTGAGGCCGGAGGTGAATCTGGATGCAGATTTGAATTCAAGAAGTGCATGTGCTCTGAATCTAATGCAGACCTTACATCAAACAGCATTTGAAAAAGATTTATAATTAAAGAGGAGCTATTACACCCATTTCAGGTTCATACTTGTATTAGTATCCTGATAGAGGATTTCAGAATTGACTTTTCAGTAAGCCCTGCCCCTTTGTAATGGTCTGGCAAGCTGTCGGAGTAAGCATGGAGCCCACACTGTAACTAACTGCACTCCCTGAAGAAATACCATATTTTTCAAAAATTAACCAGTGATTCCAGAGAGAAGCAGACAGAGGGGTCTACAGTCTGTGTTTGAAGGATATATCCAGGATGTCAAACTGACTCAGCAGCAACAACAGGTTAAAAAGACAAAGATAGTTAGAAGCTAAAGGCGAACTATAGGCTACAGATCACAGTGTAAAAGTGAACCACCACATCACTGCTGATCGCCACACAAGACAATGAATATAAAGGGAAACTTTGCTGATATTGAACCAGCTGTGTGGCATCGCAGTGTGTGCAGATGAACGGTGTTTGGCTTCACCCCTGTGCTGCTGCCAGCACCCACTGGACGGCCAGGGATCGTCAGGGGAAGTCAAACAACGTTCATCTTCACACTGTGATGACACACAGCTGGTTGAATATCAGCAAAGTTTCCCTGCTTCCCTTCACTGGTTCCTGTACAGCAGGGTCGGCCTTTTTTTCACTGCTATAATCATTTCAAAGCAAAAGCAGCATGTGTATTCATTCAGTAGGCTATATCTTCAGTAGCTAGCTAGCTAACCCTACACTTTTCAGGGTTTGATTTTGGTTTTGGAACAGGGAAGAAACGTATATCTTTTTCCAACCTCTCCAGGTAACGAGTATCATTAATACACGACGTGCCCCAGGCACAACATTTAGCTCCAAATCCACAAAACCAGCCTGAAAATCTGAAACGATTGCATTAAAGTCAACAGAGCACAGCTGTGTTGTTGTTGGGCCCTGCTCTGAGCCGGCCTGATGCTACGTCATGATTGGCCAGTCTGTGTCAGGGGCGGGACTTAGCGAAGGGTCAGTTGTCAGATGAATCAGATTTGGCTATTCAAAATATATATTCAACTATCCGTTCCTTATTTTCCTTATAGTTTGAGAGTTTGAACAAAAGACTGTATATTAAGATGAACATTGTGTCTCCACTCACTTCAAAAATGAAGCCAAAATATCCCGGATATGGCCGCTGCTCTCTTGTGCTAGCTCGTTGAGTTGCTGCCCATAAACCAAGAGCAGCACCATTGGTCATGAGCACAACTATACTATACGTAATATTGTAAACATCTAACTGTGCAATCAACGAATTGGAAATGTGCACCAATATTTTTTGCTGACATTAGATACAACAAAAATAAAGCCAGAGACTGTATCATATTTAGTTGCTGTTAGCTGTAAATTCACCACTTCTCTGCAAAAGGCAGACAACGTTATCTCAGAGCCTGACACAGCCAAGCTTCTCTTCCTCCCAGCAGCTGCCTCTGTGTCTGCAGCTGCCTGTAACAAATAGCAGCTAAAAAGTGAGGAGCATTCACTCTGCAGAAAAATCTGGAGACCAAAACAAACAGATCCCAAAAGTCCACTCCGCTCTGACTGGCAAAAAGGTGGCAAAGGGGCAATTCGACTTGATGCAATCTTAGTCGACTGAGGGGTCTTTGACTACAAATCTTCAAATCTCCGACTTTCAGGAGGCAGCCCCAGTATTGTATTTAAGTTAGAAATTTCAGTATTGTGACAGCACTAGTAGAAAAAGAGTTGAAAACAGAGTATTCAGAATGGTCTGAAGCCTGAGGTTTTTGTTCACAGGAATTTCTTCTGCGTACATTAACTTCATTTTTTAAAACTTTGGCAACGTTTAAAATAAACATTCTGTATTTTTACACTTTATATAAGACACAAAATTCCAAAAAGCATATTAAGTCACCTTTAAGACATATTTTCACAGTTGAAATATAATCACAGCAGCAGTTTTCAAGTCAAGACAAATACAATTGGATAAAAAGACAAGGCATGAAAAACAATAGTTGAGAAACAAAAGTTTTTGTTCAACAACTTGATTTATAATCATATCCTATCAACAGACAATAGGCTCACTGTCTGTGCATGGCATCAGCAAACCAGTACTTGGTTGTTGTAACATGTCGGGTGTTTACACTGCGTTCTGTGGCTTGTGGTGTTGCTGATGATTATGTTTCAATCTGGTCTGTCCGTTAACGCTCTGTCAGTGCAATCAGACATATTAACTGAAAGATAACTGTGCAGTCTACTACAGTATGTTGTGTTTATGTTGGACGACTCAACCAAATCTCATGTTTTGAAGAAACAAGACTGAAGTTTCATGTCACTGCAGGATTAGAATAACATTCATAGAGTGGAGGAATGTTTGTGTTAAATATCAATGCTATGTCTCATGCTGGTTGTAATATTTTTGTTTTAACAATGAGAACAATGATCTCCAAACCTTACCCCAATAGTTCTAGGTACCCAAACTATATTTATTCCTGCACACTTTCCTTTTATGTCCAATAAACTTTGTTTAGAAATATAATTTTGAGATCCTGAGACCTTCATCAGGTAAAGATGGCTCCCTGTTTGTTTTAGGATTGACTTTAAAATCGTATTGATTACGCTTAAGGCTCTTCATGGCCTGGCTCCGGATTACATTTCAGATCTGTTAGTCCCTCATGAACATCTGCGTAGTTTGAGATCCACGGGCAAAGGTCTACTGCTTGTTCCAGAATCCAGACTGAAGGCCGAAGGGGACAAAGCTTTTGCCACCAGGGCCCCGAGGCTCTGGAATGACCTGCCTGAGGACATAAGGCTTTCTGAGTCACTGTCTTCGATTAAGTCTCTCCTAAAACATACTTCTATCGGAAACCACATCCTGACTTTATCTGAGCTGTTTATTTTATTGCTATCTTATTGATTTAGATGTCCTATAAACCTATAAAAGATATCTATATGTTTTTGCAGGAAGACTCCCTTCACTCGCCTATGGACATTTCCTCCTACGCACCTGTCTACAGGAAATTGAAGGTATGCATGAGCCTTTATAGTCAACAGTATTTAAAGCTGAATTTTTCCAAGTCTTCCCAAAATCTAATGGTTTTACCTCTAAAAATAGATTTAAAAAAACTGTTGTTGTTAGAGTGTGCCAGGCTAAACATCCTGTAATGATTGGAACTAACTCTCAGCATCAAGGAACAGAACTCCTGCCAAGAACAACTCAGTTGAAATTGCATCACCACCATATTTTCCTTTTGTACTCTTCCTCTGTTTACAATAACAGATGTGGAGTGCAAAAATGATTTGGTGAGGTTTGGGCCTTAAATTTGAAACAGCAAGTCACGGTTATATAAGCAAGGGGACCGCACAGAGACCACGTTTAACCACATTATCACCATGGTGAGAAATAGGAAGCTGGAGAATATGTGTCTTTTCTTGGATGTGGAAGAATAAAATGTGATCTTTCACTGCCACACCGGCACCAAAGACACCCAGCATGTGTCCACAACCTGTGAACCTCCGAAGCCTCTGTTGAATGAGCAATTGGTTTGAATCCAAGTAGGACGATATAGTGCGGGGGACTGTCAACTACACTATTCAGCTAGATTACACTGTGCTGGTTTGGTTTCCAGTTTGTGGAAATATAACAGAATACACAGTTGCCATAAATTAGAGAAGACCCATTTATTAGATTCAGAAAAGCTTTATGCAGAAGGCCGAAACATCAGGAAGACATAATTACAGACTAAGGAGAATGTCAAATGCTTACTGGTACCACTGGAGGGTCTTTATCACAATTCTCAACATCATCCCTGCTTTATAAAGCCAAAGTGACCTTGAAGTAAAAAAAAAAATATATATATTTTAAAAATGAAATATGGATTTTTGAATTGGGAATGTTTATAGATAGGAGTCTTTTCAAAGCTGTCAAAAGCAGCTTAACAAAGGGAATGTCAGGGGTGCATTAAACATTAAAAGACTTTTCTTGTGACCTTCCCATTTTGTTTTGTTGCCACCGTGCCGCTGTGAGATTTATACCTTTATCTAAAACAGCTCTACATGAATGATAAGCTAAGCAGAGGCAAACGCCGCAGAGAGAAAATGTCCATCCTTGTGCTTTAGTTGAAAAATTGAACTCTACTTTGCCCTCTATCACAGCGAGGTTTGTGCTCTCATCATCACTGAGAGAAAAGAGACACCTAAACACATCCACAGAGACAAAAAAAAAAAATTCCTTTTTTGACCTTTTGGAAATGGCATCCGAGAGTAAATACTTGAATAAATGCCTGCACAAGTGCTTTTTGATGAATGCCACAATCTGAGACGTTGGGTAATTTTATTTTCACTGATCTCATGGGAGAGGGCCAAATGGAGGTGTGCATAATGCACTTTGTTGTCTTTCAAACCGCTGACCTTGACAACAGTAATATAACCTCGCACATCACTGTAAAACCCAGTGAAAGCACACAGCGATCTTGGCTTTTGTGCTCTTTAAACATTTAATCATAGATGCCTAGACAAAAGTCACTCATGAGTAGCATCACTGTTTTTGTACTCCACTGCATCTCACATAGTGTGCTGCTACAGGACATAATTTGAGGGCAAACCATTTCAATGAGGTGTTATTTACAGTCCACACACTATAATATTATCTCTCAGGATGTGGGCTTTTTATCATGGAGCTCCAGCAAACCAGATTCTGTTGAGTCACCCCAGTACAAGTAGATAAAGCTTCTCCAGTCTAAACTGGTTATCTGATGGGAAGATAGCTGAGAACACAACAAATATCTGCTTCATTAAATGTCTCTGAAAAAACATCTATACTGTTTTAATGGGTGGAACACATCTCACACTTCTATAATGGATTATGTTTTATGATGCATGCCACACTGGTGATTTGTCTTCAGTCTAACAGGTAACTAATTTCCTGGTGTAGATCAAGAGATGACCTAAAAGGTCACAAATCCTATTAAGTGTGTAAACCTCAAATATTGCAGTCATTTCATATCTAATTTTGTCTAAAAGTGTATGTAGAATAACACGCAAGTTGACAAACTGGCTTTATTTTTTACATTTAGATGATATGTTTGCTGATATTTTACAGCTGTTTCAAGGTTTTGTCCTGTCTGTCGGTATCTGGATAAATCATTAAATATGTCAGTATTTCATTAAATGTGCAAGAATAAATACACAGTATGGCGGAGTTTATACTTATACATTGAATTGACGCTGTACCCTTTGCTGTAGCCTGACGTGCACCTCCCCAGAAATCTAACTACAAGTCGCGGTGACGCAGACCTTACGTCTATTTTTGTAACCTGAAACCATTTCCCTCAGTGAAAACAAAGCTTTTTTTTACTTTACTTTTTCAGCTAAGAAACAATAAATTGGGAAGATGATAAAGCCTCCACAAAAATAGCATTTTAAGTCTTGTGTGTGATTTATCCTGGCTCCATATGAGCAGAGGAAATCTCATCTAGTCTCAAGGCTAATTTATACAATGTAAAATGCCATAGGCTTGTACTAATAACATTAGCATGTTGTATTTGTTCGGAAAAAGTGTCTAATACAAGACAGATTTGTCTGTGAACCTTGTCAGTTGTAATGAAGCTGAATTTTGTAACATTACCATTGTTAAATGTTGCTGTTGTCCCTGGTTTTATATGAGAAGAGGAAAAGTTTGCTAGCAGCTAGGCTAATTTATACAATGTAAAATGCCATAGACTTGTGCTAATAATGTTAGCATGTTATATTTGGGGGAAAATGTGTCCAGATAAAGACAAGTGCTTTGTCTGTGAATGCTGCGAGTTATAGTGAAGCTGATTTGTGTGTTTGAAATTGTTTCTGTTAAGCCATGTTTAATGTGTGTTTTAGGGGTGTTTTGAATCAACTAAACTTTACAGCATTTCACGGAAACCCCGCCGCCAACTAATGTTTTAGAGGTGTAACTGCAGAGTGACACAGACACACCACCGCACAAGTATAAATGCTCACAATATTGTAGGGCATGTGCGTAGGCTACGGCGTAGGGCTGTGCGATTGCCTCTAAATTTCATATTGTGGATTGTCATTGCTCTAGATTGCCAATACACGATTGCAGTCATTTCATATCTAAGCAGCTGTGTCGGTACCGCTGCGCTGACAAGCCAGAGACGTGTTGCTCCTCCTCACTTCGAGTCGCTGTCATTAACTTTTAACCTGCAAAGGCGGCAGTGCCGCAACATTGTAGGAATTTATGAAAGCCCTTGTGAATAGGGATTTCCCGATCCAGCTTTTTCCACTTCCGATCTGATACTGATATTACAGCCTTGAGTTTTGGCCGATACCGATACGATCCAAGCGCGTATTATACATATTCACTTATTTTGTTGTCAGTCATGTTAGAAAAGGTTTGATCAAGCGATACTACTCTAACAAGAACAACTACTTAATTGGGTTACTTAGAATGATCCACAACAGCTGGTATGAGAAACTGACCCATTTATTGTTAACAGGGTTAAATAAACAAACTTTAAACTTGAACATTAACATTAAATAAAAAATATAGCTGGTTTGCTTTGGCTGCTTTGGCCCCTTAATAAATAGAAAATAAATCAACACAAGAAATCTTTAAAATGTCTAATATTGAAATTAAAATAGCAGCAAGACTCCTCACATTTGTGTTTTGTCCCCCTAATAAATAAAAAATAGATTAACACCACAAGACATTGTTGACATTTAACAAACAATGCAGCCTTTCCTTTTCAGTTATTTTAGTAGTGTCAGTGCCAGCCTGGTACTGCTGTTTCCTGGGACCAACAGAGGGGACAAAAAACCACACACAATATTATACAACTGTTTAAACAAGCAATAGTCCATCCATGGCTCCAATTTCACTAATTGTGCCCATAACAATGCCATCAGTGGTCTTTACTTAAACAGTAAGAGTGTAAACCAAATAAATATCACTCTCAAAAAACCAGAGCAGAAAACAAATAGTCAGTTAACTAAATTGACCACTACTCTTCCTACCCTCCGTGTGTTTGCCGTCTGCATGCTGGCCTGGTGGATTGATAGTAAGAGCTGGAGCGGATCACTGGAATGGACTGCGTGAATCGCGGTGCGCTGGGCTGGTCGGAAAACCTGGATCGGACCGCGTGGAAAAACTGGATCGGAGTTCTTGGATCGGCATTTTTCCATGCAGTCCGATCCGATGCACATTTTTTGCTAATATCGGCGGCCGATACGGATCCGAATATCGGATCGGGACATCCCTACTTGTGAACATTTCGATGGTTACATGTTAAAACAATATTTATTTGCAATTACTCTATTGAACGACCCCGAAGCATGAGCAAACGGGCTGTGTCACTTTGGATCAAAGAGATGCGACCTGTCACTGTCAGCGCAGCGATAGGAGAAGAGAGGAGAGGAGATGGGTTGTAGGTCTGTTTGTAAACAGGGCTCGTTTTTTTTTTTTTTTTTAAATCGCCTTGACATCCAGCAAATCGCATGGCAACCCTCCAGTCGCCAATATACGATTTGATCGCTGATCGTCCCAGGCCTACTACGGCATAGGGTCTGCTGCACAAGTATGGATCTCGCTCAATACCTAAAATCAAGAACTAGTCGAACTATCTATCGATAACTAATTCGTATTCATTCAAAGTTAATATGATTAATTGATGAAACAACATGATTGTACCTGTAATAAATAAATGACACTCCATCAGCCTCAGCTGTATTTAGTGCTAATTAGTAAATATTAGCATGCTGACATGCTAAACCAATGACTGTATATAAAGTTGGACAATGTGTCTTCACTTCTTCCGAATGTACAAAACTGAAGCCAATAAATCCTGGCTATGTCACCGCTGCTGGTGACGTCATTTGGAGCCAGAATCCGTGGTATTCCATTTCTGTCCAGGATGCAGGATGTCTTGTGTCGCGCTAATGGTAGGTTTCTCTGACCTATCAGTGGTCTGCAGTATTTTAACTCCACCTTTTATTATTGGCTTGGCTTGCTTGGAACCTTGACTGAGGTGGTACCA